TTGACAGCCTCTTGCCAACACGAATTCTGGCACATGAATATATGTAAAAAAGCACAAAAAATGAGTGAACTGAAGCATTTACAGTTCACTGTTAACACCTGATAAGTAAAATCATTCTAATTTTCATGTAATCTTAGACAAGCTTACAGCATTCAGGAAGTGATTCAGTAGTTCGTTCCCGAAGAACTTCACCATCAGCACAACCGAATCCTTGCTCCACCGTTGTTTTAGTTGCATTCATGGACGGACAGCCTACCGACTGTGTAGCTATTGTTTCACCGTTCACAGAAAGAAGACTGCGAATTGGTGTGGTGGCACCTATGACAAAACAGATTCCTTCAGATTTGGAAAAAAGGCATTTTTCTCTGTTTGCAGTCTTTACAACTACTTGAAACAGGTAATGTGAAAATTTTTTTAGCATATTAGTATTGCGGTTTCACGTAATCGAGTCGTTACATTCTGCACTTATTCTATAAGCTGTATCATCTTAATTAGTAGAGTAAGGACTTCTAACTCCACTTTTCAAAAAGGCGACTGTGACACCCTTCCCCAACAACTGTAGTAGTAAAAAATAAATTTACCTGGTATTCGTAAATCGAAGATAGTTCGCAGAGTTAAACCACATAACTCATAGAAAACATCCTGCAGTACAGTCGGAAGTATCTGGATTGTATAGTTTGCGGTAACACCATTCATTGTGCTACTAAATTTAACATCCAGAAAGCGTGCAAAAACTTCTACCGATGACGAACAACGCTGTGATAGGGAAGCATCCAGAGCATCAAAAAACGTTGCTACATATTCTGAGTAACCCTGAAATGACGTTTCGATAACCGAGGTGGAATTTTTTTTAATATTTTCTTAAAATTTGTTCAACGGTTTTCACAAATTTCTTAAAATGTGTTCAACGGTTTTCACCGTTGAACACATTTTAAGAAATTTGTCCCTGGAAAAACAAACTCATCATGACTATGGAACAGCGATGCGGCAGAGAATTAAGAAGTCACCACTACGGTGGAAGGATCTGTTCGAACGCCTAAGTAAGATTTTATGGATGAGAGGTGGGAAAATTGCACCTGCATCCGTGGTAAAGGAGGACGTTCCGATGAAAAAACAATTAATCAAAGTATGTTGACCAACTGGACGTTAAAATGATGCAATCGCAAAAACCCAGAAGGACATGAAAATGATGATACTGTTTACCTTGAGGCATTCGGTGCCAACCGGAGTTGAAACTGCATAGTCGATGGAGACGGTTAGTTCATAACGAGCTGGTTCCTGAGCAGCTGGTACACAGGCCGGCACTACATTTGATGGAGACCATACACCGCCAGTACAGGTAAATTGCAGAACCGCATTTTCATCACTGACGAATGTAAATCCTTTGGCACATTTTGCACTGCAAACTGTTGAACTGCCCCGTACTTGACATTCTTTTACCACACCTGCTTCGCTAACTAGTGACCACAGAGAGCAAGGCTCCGCTGAAAAACTTTTTGGTTATAGGAGTAAGGAAAAATAACGAAAGCAAATAAGCCTTTAAATCGTTTATTTTCAAACGCCTTCTGTAAAAAAA